CGACTCTCATGGTGAAAAGAAGACTTTATATACTTTCTCCTCCCTTGTTCTCTGGAGCTGCCTTTGTTCCAGCTAATTTTCCAAGTCTGGTCCTCAGGCCTCTGGCCAATATTGTAAACCTCCACTTTCCTCCTATTAGAATTGTCAGAGTCGGTTTCTGTCACCTGCAAACAAGAACCTTGTGGGGGAGCTTTGGAATTAAACACAGAAGGTTCTAATCACAGCTCTCATACTAGCTTTGTGGCCTTGACAAGATACTCAAGCATTCTAAGCCCCAATTTCTCTCATTTTGTAAAATAATAATAATAATATATACTTACAGGATTGTTGTTATAATCAAATGAAATAGTAAGTGTAAGATTGCCTCAGTCATGCCTGCATTTTTGTAAGGTCTTGCTGAAGGAGTTATTCCTTACAAAGCACTTTCGTGTCTATCTTCCCATGTGACCTCCACAGCAAGGTACTGCAGAGATCTCCATTTTACAGATATGGAATCTGAGGTTCATGGAGGCAACGTGGCACCCTCAGGTTCACACAAGGAGTGAATAAATATGGGGTTTGAATCCATATTTTCTGATTCATGGTTCTGTTCTTCTAGAGACCTAGCTGTGAGCATGTAGATGGATATGAGAGTTTCATGTTTTTTTCATGGAAAACTTTAAAGACAGGTAATTTGGGGGAAAGAATTTGGAATGTATGACCAGCAAGATGTCTTTTAATCTATAATTACAGTGAAGAGGAGGAGAATGAGGACTGTCTGATGTACCCCCCGGTCAGAGGGAAAGAAGAGCAAACAGAGGTATGGAGTAGTGGACAGAGAAGAGGCGGCTCAGTGCCTTTTAGGCCCCAAAGAATAAAGAAGAGTGTGGGCCTGATGGACAGAATTCACCATTTCAAAGAGGTCAGAGAGAATGAGGACTGAGAATAGGCCACTGGATGCGGCTACAGAGGTGTCCCCAGTATTCAAAGACACCACAGTGTTCCCCAATCTACTTACCTATCAAATTGACAAATCTTTTAAAGCATTTCTTTCATTCACAAAAGTTGACATAAATAGAATAACATTAATGGTATCTTTCATTAAATATACTGTATTATGCTTTTCACTAATTACCATTAATCCTCTAAATGGTAATGTTCCCAGAAATGGAAGAACATAATAATAATAATTTCTAAAATCACCCCATAAAGATGAAGGCAATTGATGATTTTTAGAACATTTTTCTATTGATCACTAGAAAAATAGCTTTTCTAATACATGTAAGTGCACAATTAAAACACCAAAAAAAAAAAAAAAAATCCTGCAATACAAGTAATGTAAAACTATTTCCTAGTATATGGGAACAGGAAGTGTATAATATAGCAAGTGGTTCAGACTCTTTTTTTTTTTTTTTTTGCAAGGTTCAGGAGTATAAATAAGCTCTGTGCCTGATGGGTTTGCTCAGTTCTAAAGTCACATGTAAATGCTGAACACATTATTTGAAATTAACTTTGGAGGTCAATCAACACGGACAAGAGAACATGAAAGAACTTTTTATGGGGCTTTGCATGGTCTCCTCTCTATCTCTTCTCAGTATAACAATGACAATGTGTTCTATAATGGAAAAAACATGAAAAATACAATGTGATTCTATTTTCTTTGGCTATTTCATTTGGAATATATATATATATATATATATATATATATATATATATATGACAAAGTGTTGCCCAGGCACAATCATGGCTCACTGCAGCCTCAACCTCCCGGGCTCAAATGATCCTCCCACCTTAACCTCCCAAGTAGCTGGGACCGCAGGTGTGTGCCACCACACCAGGCTAATTTTTAAAAAAATTTTGGTAAAAGTGAGGTCTCACTATGTTGCCCAGGCTTATCTTAAAATATATTTTAATATAAAAATATATAAAATATAAATATAATATGATAAGTACATTTTATGAAAATGTACTACTGCCGTGTTAACATCATCAAAACTTAAGATCTTGGCCTTTTCTTGTCTCTCAAAAGAGAAGCACCGGCTCCTTTGGCAAAGGCTGACTCCAGGAAAGTCACCAACAGCATGATCTTTGTGACCGAATCTAGCCACCAGAGGTAAGGTGTAGGTAAGTAATTTGGGTAACATTGTGGTGTCTTTGAATACGGGGGACTTCTCTGTAGCCACATCCAACAGCCTTCATCATTTTTCTCATTAAAGTTTGAGCAGCCATCACTGCCTGAACAGATGCATTGCTGAATTAGGCTGCTTGGCTTTAATTCCTACTTTACCAGCACAATTCCCTTTGCATGGGAAGTGCCTCCAAAGGGGTTGGCCTTAAGGGCTGTGCCCAGATGGGTCTCCTTGTATGTTTATCATGACATTTCTCATCCCATTAATAACTGCAGCACTCAGTCCTGGTAGTTCGAAGACCCTGACACTTGCCCACCTGCAGGCCTGAGCAAAGGAACAAGACAGGAGAGGCTCTTTTGCTAATTTTTGTATTGCTATTATAAACACACCAAAAGATTTTAAAAAGGAAGAAAAAGAAGAAACACAAAGGAAGGTTTAGTGTCTAAATGTCACAGAAACACCAGGGGTTTAGTCTAGGTTTTGCTGCTTGCCACACAGAAAGCCAATCACTGAGACAATGAGTATGGCCAAGGAGGAAGGCTTTCATCAGGTGCTTCCGCTGAAGAAATGAGAGATCAGTCTCAAATCCATCTCTCTGACCAACTAAAATTAAGGGTTTATATAGCAGAGAAGAAATGTAACTTCATGCACAAAAACAGGAATTAGGGAGGGCTAAGGAAAAGTTCATCCATAGGAAGTAGGTGGTCACTTATGCAATCATGATAGATGAGGGGTCTGGTGTCTCATTGTCCAGATGTAGTGATCTGGTAAGTTTCACTTCCTGGATAGTATGTGGGAGACCTGATGGTTGGTTTCCTGAGAAAGGAACTCACATAAGAGAAATGTAACTTTCTTAAGTTTCAAGACTGGGAGGGTAAATTTCTATGTTTATTCAAAAGAAACGATTAAACATCAGTTCTATGGGACAATTAGATGGGTTTCATAAATGCGATCTTAATGAGTGTGCCACTTATCAGTGTATTACTGCTCAGCTTAAAAGCTACTCTGCTATTTGCTCTGTGTTAACCTGCTGGACCCTATAAGCAGTTCTCCTTAACAGCAAGCACTTTGTTAGGTTTTGTCGATAGAGGGTGCAAGAAGGACACTGCAAGAAGAAAGGACTTCTGGCTCTGATTCTTCCATTCATGTGACCCCCAGGCAGGAGAAGCACTGAACAATATAACAACTTATCTGTGGTGGAGGTATGAGGTACCTGCAGGCCCAGATCCCCTTTGCCATCAGGTGCTCCCGTCACCCTTGCCTCCCAGCTGCTGTGACTCTGGGCTGATGGACTCCACAGCTGCCCTGTTGCTGGAGAACTGCCCTCAGCCACATAGGAGCTGCCTTGGACCTGCCCTGCCCAGGAGGCTCTGCCACATTCTCATCCATCTGCCCCTGGTCTGATGACTGACTCACAGGAAAGGAAAAAAAGGCCATCCCCCTCTTCTCAAAGGTACTGACTCTGTGTGGCCATTTGTGTTCCAGAGCACCTTCATGGGATTGAGAGGTGACAATGTGCTAGCAGCCCTTGCTCTCGGTGCCTCCTTGGCCTTGGCGTCCACTCTGGTGGCTCTTGAGGAGCCCTTCAGCCTGCTATGGCACTGTAGGAGCCCCTCTCTGGGCTGGCTGAGGCTGGAGCCGCCTCCCTCTGCTTGCGGGGAGATGTGGAGGGAGAGGTGTGGGACTGGCGGGCAGCTCCACCTGCAGCCCCAGTGAGAAATCCACTGGGTGAAGCCGACTGGGCTCCTGAGTCTGGTGGGGACTTGGAGAGCTTTTAAGTCTGGCTGAGGGATTGTAGACGCACCAATCAGCACTCTGTGTCTAGCTCAGGGTTTGTAAATACACCAGTCAGTACTCTGTGTCTAGCTCAAGGTTTGTAAATACACCAATTGGTACTCTGTATCTAGCTAACTCTGTGTCTAGCTAACCTAGTGGGGACTTGGATAACTTTTCTGTCTAGCACTCTATGTCTAGCTCAAGGATTGTAAACACACCAATCAGCACTCTGTGTCTAGCTCAGGGTTTGTAAATACACCAGTCAGTACTCTGTGTTTAGCTCAAGGTTTGTAAATACACCAATTGGTACTCTGTATCTAGCTAACTCTGTGTCTAGCTAACCTAGTGGGGACTTGGAGAACTTTTCTATCTAGCACTCTGTGTCTAGTGCAAGGATTGTAAATGCACCAATCAGCACTCTGTCAAAATGGACCAATCAGCGCTCTGTAAAATGGACCAATCAGCTCTCTGTAAAATGGACCAATCAGCTCTCTGTAAAATGGACCAATCAGCAGGATGTGGGTGGGGTCAGATAAGGGAATAAAAGCAAGCTGCCCAAGCTAGCCAGCAGCAACAGTGCTTGGGTCCTCTTCTCCACTGTGGAAGCTTTGTTCTTTCACCCTTTGCAACAAGTCTTGCCACTGCTCACTCTTTGGGTCCGCGCTGCCTTTATGAGCTGTAACACTCACTGCGAAGGTCTGCAGCTTCACTCCTGAAGCCAGCAAGACCATGAACCCAGCGGGAAGAGCGAACAACTGCAGATGCGCTCCCTTTGAGAGCTGTAACACTCACCACAAAGGTCTGCAACTTCACTCCTGACAGCGAGACCACGAACCCACCAGAAGGAAGACGCTCCAGACACATCTGAACGTCTGGAAGAACAAACTCCGGACACCCCATCTTTAAGAACTGTAACACTCACCGCGAGGGTCCGCGGCTTCATTCTTGAAGTCAGTGAGACCAAGAACCCACCAATTCCGGACACAGGATTAGAGTGAAGACATGCAGCTGAGACCACTTTCTCACTTAGCTTTAACCTCCATGCCATCCTGCATTCCTCACTCTGCTTCTCCTGAGAGCATCCACCAGTGAAGCACTGAAACAAGAACTTTCATCTCAGGCTTTGGTTCTTGGGAACCCAAATACATTTAAAGCTCTAAGAGCATGGCAGAACTGAGCAGAAAGAAGGGAGACCCTCAGGGCAGGAGCAAAGAGGACAATGGGATAAGACAGAGCTAGGACAAGAGCCCTGTTCCTGTATCCCAAACTCAGCAATCACAATTTACTTCTCCTGCTGTGGAAGAGTGAGTGCAGTGAGAGGGAGAGGCAGGGGTATTATGATTGTGGAGCTCACCTCAGCTGCAGGAAAGAGAACATCAGGAAAGGGGACGAAGGATCACAGTGTCTAACAATGTGACACTGTTGTATTCATTTCCTAGGGTGGCTGTAATGAAGTGTCACCAACTGGATGGCTTAAAATCATGGAAATGTATTCTCTCACAATTCTGGAGGTTAGAATTCCAAAACTGAAGTGTCAGTGGGGACATCCTTGACTCACATCACTCCAGTCTCTTCCTCTGTGATCATGTGATGATCTCCCTCTGTGTCTTCACTTCATCATGTCAACCTAAAAATCATCCAAAGGGTCAGAATCTAGTTTAAAAAGTTTGTGCAGGCCTGGTATAGTGGTTCACACCTGTAAGCCCAGCACTTTGGGAGGCCGTAGTGGGAGGATCACTTGAGCTCAGGAGTTTGAGACCAGCCTGGGCAACATGGTGAAACCCTGTCTCCACCAAAAATACAAAAATTAGCTGGGTGTGGTGGTGCACACTTGCAGTCCTAGCTACTCAAGAGGCTGAGGTGGGAGGATCATCTGAGCCCAGGAGATTCCAGGCTGCAGTGAGCCGTGATCATGCCAGTGTACTCCAGCCTGGGTGACAGGGGAAGACCCTGTCTCTAAAAACAAAAAACAAACAAACAAAAAAGAGTTTGTTCAAATGCAAAGTTTGAGGACAGCTACTCAGAAAACACAGATTCCAAAGAACGAAAGTCACTGTTCTGAAGTGTAGAAGTTTAGGATCGTTTAGACAAAAGATAGAGAAGCATAACAGAATTTCAGTATCTTTCTACATGAGGCTTAGCGCATAGTTACAATGATTGGATTCGTTGAGGTGGTCTTTTTTCTCAGGAAAGGCATATTTAACATTCCACACTGAAGAGGGAACAGTTACGGGGTCTTCTGCGTCATTTGGTCTGTTTTAGACATGGGACAATGAAGGAAGCAGTTAATCTATAACAAAAACCAGTGATTGGAAGGGGAGGGGCCTGGTTTCTGGTCTTTTCTAGTCATTAATGGAACATTTATGGAAAAGTTAATCTATAATCTAAGAAAAAGAAGTTGTATGTTCTGTGTCTCAGTCTCCAGGGCTTAACTTACCCCTGGGCGTAATAAATATAGAGGAGCCTGAAATTTTATTTTATTTTATTTTATTTTTAGATAGAGTCTCTGTCACCCAGGCTGGAGTGCCGTGATGCGATCTCGGCTCACTGTAACCATCTCAGGTCAAGCAATTCTCCTGCCTCAGCCTCCCGAGTAGCTGAGATTACAGGCATGCACCACCACGCCCAGCTAATTTTTAAAATATTTTTAGTAGAGACAGGGTTTCATCATGTTGGCCAGGCTGGTCTCAAACTCCTGACCTCAAATGATCCGCCTGCCTCAGCCTCCCAAAGTGCTGGGATTATAGGTATGAGCCACTGTTCCTGGCCTACAGTATTTATTTATTTATTTATTTATTTATTTGATGGAGCCTCATTCTGTTGCCAGGCTAGAATGCAATGGCATGATCTGGGCTCACTGCAACCTCCGCCTCCCTAGTTCAAGCAATTCTCCTGCCTCAGCCTCCCGAGTAGCTGGGACTACAGGCTCACGCCACCACACCCAGCTAGTTTTTGTACTTTTTAGTAGAGATGGGGCTTCACCATATTGGCCAGGATGGTCTCGATCTCTTGACCTCATGATCCGCCCACCTCAGCTTCCCAAAGTGCTGGGATTACAGGCATGAGCCACCATGCCCAGCTTACAGTCTTTTTATAAGGACATCAGTCATATTGGAGTAGGGGCCAACCCTACTCCAGTATGAATCTTTACTAATTTCATCTGCAACTACTTGTTTCCAAATAAGATCATATTCTGAGGTACAGGGGGTTAAGTTTCCATCATATCAATTCAACCCATAACAATTCAACCCATAACAACTGCATAGGTCAAATAAGATACCTCTCAGGTTCAGATTCAGCCAGAGGGCTGCAGCCAGCAGATGCAGGTGTTCCTCCTCTGTGTTTCTGTGGCACCTGTTTGTGTGCAGAATGCCCATCTCTATCACAGCACCAGCCACAGTGTACAGCAATCATCAACCCACTTTGATTTCCGTTAGACTGCAATGCCTTCAAGAAAAAAGAGTTTGTTCAAATGCAAAGTTTGAGGACAGCTACTCGGAAAACAGATTGCAAAGAATGAAAGTCACGGTTCTGAAGTGTAGAAGTTTAGGGTTGTTTATTTAGACAAAAGATAGAGAAGCGTAACAGAATTTCAGTACCTTTCTACATGAGGCTTAGCGCATAGTTACAATGATTGGATTCGTTGAGGTGGTCTTTTTTCTCAGGAAAGGTATATTTAACATTCCACACTGAAGAGGTAACAGTCACGGGGTCTTCTGCGTCATTTGGTCTGTGTTAGATATGGGACAATGAAGGAAGCAGTTAATCTATAACAAAAACCAGTGATTGGAAGGGGAGGGGCCTGGTTTCTGGTCTTTTCTAGTCATTAATGGAACATTTATGGAAAAGAGTTAATCTATAATCTAAGAAACAGAAGTTGTAAACATGTTTTGTGTCTCAGTCTCCAGGGCTTAACTTTCCCCTGGGCGTAATAAATTTAGAGGATCCTGAAATTTTAACCCTTTTTTTTTTTTTTTTTTAAGATAGAGTCTCACTCTGTCACCCAGGCTGGAGTGCCGTGATGCGATCTCGGCTCACTGTAACTACCACCTCCCAGGTCAAGCGATTCTCCTGCCTCAGCCTCCTGAGTAGCTCAGATCACAGCTGAGATTATTTGGTTTTGCATCCTCAATGCCTGGTTGTAAAATCTTCCACTTAGGGTTCACTCACTAAATGCTTGTGGAATAAAAGTAGAATGCTTCCACTTTTGTCAGAGACGTGTGAACCAGAGCAACTCCATCTTAAATAGGAGCTAGATAAAATGAGGCTGCGACCAACTGGACTGTATTCCGAGATGGTTAAGGCATTCTAACTTACAGGATGAGATAGGAGGTTGGCACAAGATACAGGTCATAAACACCTTGCTGATAAAACAGGTTGCAGTAAACAGGCTGGCTAAAACCTACCAAAACCAATATGGCCACGAGAGTGGCCTCTGGTTATCCTCACTGCTGTACTCCCACCAGCACCATGACTGTTTACAAATGCCATGGCAATGGCAGGAAGTTACCCTATATGGTCTAAAAGGGGAAGCATAAATATTCCACCCCTTGTTTAGCATATCATCAAGAAATAACCATAAAAATGGGCAACCAGCGGTCTTCGGACTTCGGGGCTGCTCTGTCTATGGAGTAGCCATTCTTTTGTTCCTTTACGTTCTCAATAAACTTGCTTTCAGGGTGGGGGAAGCTGAGAGCTGAGACCAAGGGCTAAAGCTGGGAGACTGAAAAAATGCAGACTACCGGGGCATTACTCATTTCTCCAGCTCTGATCCGCTGTACCAGGGGTCTAATCAGGCCTGTGTCTGCCTCCTTCCTGAATAGCCCAGTGAATTCATCTAAACAGCCTTCCTACAGCAGCTTCCCACTCCAGGTGGCCAGACGGGAGTTCCAGACCAGTGTTGTCTCCCGGGACATTGACACAGCAGCCAAGTTTATTGGTGCTGGGGCAGCCACAGTTGGTGTGGCTGGTTCAGGGGCTGGCATTGGAACGGTGTTTGGCAGCTTGATCATTGGCTATGCCAGGAACCCATCTCTCAAGCAGCAGTTCTTCTCCTATGCCATTCTGGGCTTTGCCCTGTCTGAGGCCATGGGGCTCTTCTGTTTGATGGTCGCCTTCCTCATCCTCTTCGCCATGTGAGGCTCCATGGGGGTCACCTGCCTGTTGCCGCTGCGACTCCACGCCATTCCTGGTGTTGGGGTGTACTAAGCTTTACCATTAAACACAACGTTTCTCTAAAAAACAAAAACAAAAACAATAAACTTGCTTTCACTTTATGGACTCGGCCTGAATTCTTTCTTGTGCAAGATCGAAGAACCTTCTCTTGGGGTCTGGATCAGGACCCACTTCCTGTCACACTTTCATGGAACTGTGGTGAGTCAAGAGCCCAGCCCACTGGCATGATTCAAAAAGCATTAGCTTCCATGCCTTGGTGGCTTTTCCCCTTTGAAGGTGTGAGACCCATTTGGAACCCCAGATTTGATACGAAGATTATTTTGAGCTGAAGACATTTGAGATTCAACAGATGCAGAAAGAAACCTACTTGGAGCTTCTCTTATCTGACTTCAAGCAGAAACCTCTGAGAAATGAGGACTGCCACAAATTCCCTCATGAGGTGGCTTCCACTCCCAGGAGAGAGAGAAAGAGTACATCTACTATAAATTACCTCTTCTGGGGAGTTTTATGGCCCCAAAGAAGCTGGAAACACCGCTTGCCTGTATAGGCAACATTATCACAAATTTTCTTATCTCCTATTTGTTCTCCTAAAACTTCATTTGTCTTTTCTAAAGAAACCTAATTGTTTTTTCCCATAGAAGCCTTTTCGCCTCCCTCCTATTCCCCTGCTAATTTAGGTATATAAGCCTTTAACTTTAACCATTTGATAAGCCAGCTACTCCTTTTATTGGCTTCTGGGTGCATACAAATAAACCTTTTTCTCCTGTTTTTTTTAGACAGAGTCATCTTGCTCTGTCACCCAGGCTAGAGTGCAGTGGCACAATCTCAGCTTACTACAACCTCCACCTCCCGGGTTCAAGCGATTCTCCTGCCTCAGCCTACCGAGTAGCTGGGATTATAGGTGCCCACCACCACACCCAGCTAATTTGTGTATTTTTAGTAGAAACAGGGTTTCACCATGTTGGCCTGGCTGATCTCAAACTCCTGACCTCAAGTGATCCTTCTGCCTCGGCCTCCCAAAGTGCTGGGATTACAGGTGTGAGCCACTGTACCCGGCCGCTTTTTCTCCTGTTAATCATGCGAAGAATGGTATGATTACTATTACTCTCATCAGCTTCTAGCAACTTCTGTGCTACGTTGAACCACAGGAGTCCACAGTGACCCTGTCTCCTTTACACATGACTAACAAACAGCATATTTAAGTGCATTAATATTACAAGAAAAACCTGGAATTGTTTAGAAAAATGTTCCCTCAAAGTGGGAGGGAGCCAAGAGATAAAAGAATTTTATTTGGAAAAGTCCAGCTTGGCAAGTAGATGTGTTTGTTAAGATTTACATACAGGGCACTCTTGGACAGCAGCAGGACTGCTCTAGAGATCTGTGCCACCTCCCATCTCTAAACTATTTGTAAGCTAATTTTCTGGCTCTTTGCCTACTGTGTTTGAGTGATGAGACTGTTTTTCTTGGTAGGTTCTCAGGGATACCTGTTCCTCAGCTGCACACCATGGCCTTGACTCACCACCTGGTCTTCAAGGTTCAAGCAGTAGGCGTGCACCCTTCAGTAACCTGGTGTGGAACCCATCACACTACAATTAAAATGTGTATGTGGAAAGAATGCATCCCAAAGGGTTAGCATGAATTATTTCCTGATGAGGAAACGTTTTCATGAACCTTTTTTTTGGCTTTTCTTTCTTTTCTACTTTTTCGGCAGTGAATATTAGTTTTATGATAAGAAAGCTCATTCCTCCCAGTAAATATTAATTTTAAAACAAAAAAAATTAAAAGTTACAAGACAGCAATATCCTCTAGATCACTCTTTTGCTAGTATTTTTGTCTTTTTTAACCTTCAGTTCAGATTTGACATTGCTGTTGAAGCACTTACACGTGTTCAGCATTCGTTGCTCTTTGGATGGCTATGTAGGTAGCAGAAGGGAAGGTCTTTCTTTGGGATTTTGCAGTCTCTGCAGGGGTCCAACATTTGCTTCCCAACCTGAATCAGAGCTTATTTTATTTTAGTGTTTTGCATCTGCACAGCTAATCACTACTTGTTATGTAAGCTCAGCTATGGGAATTTTTATTAGGCATAGCTCCTATTCATGAAGGATAGAATAATTTTTTAAAAAAGAAATTAGTACAATGGTGTAGGGAAGAAAGAGTAATATTTTTTCCTTGCTTGTTGCAAGGTTCATGGCTTACACCCCATAACAAAAAACAAATTAACAAGAGAAAAGTGTAACAAATTTATTTAACCAAAGTTTTATGTGACATGCAGCCTTCAGAAATGAAGACCCCCAAAATGGAGGAAACTGTGTATTTTTATGTTTAGGTTTGATGAAAAGTGGATACTTATGGAGAAACATGATTGGATAAGGGGTATGATCTAACAGTAATAAACTGGGGGACTTAACAAGGGCTTTGTGTTCAGATTTATCTTGGTGTCTCCGTGTCTTCATTCCATTTCTCTGGCTGTCACATGAAGGTCTTATAACTGAGAAACAAAAAAGAAATCCTAAGTCCCCCAACTGACTGAATGGACACTCTTTTGGCCAAGAGGACCCCAGAGAAACCTTGAACATTGAGTTCCTGGACATGACAGGATGGAAAGTCAGACACACCTTGTATTAGTTCATTTTCATGTGGCTAATAAAGACATACCTAAAACTGGGAACCAAAAGAAGTTTAATTGGACTTACAGTTCCACTTAGCTGGGGAGGCCTCAGAATCACGGTGGCAGGTGAAAGGAACTTCTTACACAGCAGTGGCAAGATAAAAATGAGGATGAAGCTAAAGCAGAAATCCCTGATAAACCCATCAGATCTTGTGAGACTTATTCACTATCACAAGAATAGCATGGGAAAGACTGGCCCCCATGATTCAATTACCTCCCCCTGGGTCCCTCCCACAATACATGGGAGTTCTGGGAGATACAATTCAAGTTGAGATTTGGGTGGGGAGACAGCCAAACCATATCAATCCACCCCTGGCCCCTCCAAACCTCATGTCCTCACATTTCAAAACCAATCATGCCTTCCCAACAGTCCCCCAAAGTCTTAACTCATTTCAGCATTAACCCCAAAGTCAACAGTCCAAAGTCTCACCTGAGACAAGGTGAGTCCCTTCTGCCTATAAGCCTGTAAAATCAAAAGCAAGCTAGTTATTTCCTAGATACAATGGGGGTACAGGTATTGGGTAAATACAGCTGTTCAAAATGGGAGAAGTTGGCCAAAACAAAGGGGTTACAGGGCCCATGCAAGTCTGAAATCCAGCAGGGAAGTCAAATTTTAAAGCTCCAAAATGATCTCCTTTGATTCCAAGTAACATCCAGGTCATGCTGCTGCAAGAGGTGGGTTCCTATGGTCTTGGGAAGCTCCACCCTTGTGGCTTTGCAGTGTGCAGCCTCCCTTCTGGCTGCTTTCACAGGCTGGTACTGAGTGTCTGTAGCTTTTCCAGGTGCATTGTGCAAGCTGTTGGTGGATCTACCATTCTGGGGTTTGGAGGATGGTGGCCCTCTTCTAACAGCTCCACTAGGCAGTGCCTCAGTAGGGACTCTGCATGGGGGCTCTGACCCC